GAACTTATCCATTGATGAACACACTATGCCTCGTTGTTGAACGTAATTAGCAATTACTCAACCAAAAAGAGAGATGCAATGCAACCATCAATCTCTTTCTCTATCATAATATAAAATATACATAGAAAATGGTAGTAATTAAAAACTCATTAATACATATTATTAAACTTATTTAATGCATATAATAGTCATTAAAACGTAACTAAAAATAAAAGAACATCTTCATACAAATTAATGTCAGCTCCTTTAATTTTTTTTAATTCTATTCATTAGTTAATTACAAAGTTACTTTTTCTAGAATTTAGTTATTAAGTTAAGCGATCAATAAATGTTAATATTCAAATTGACAATAAATGATTTTTTTTGTTATAAACTATATAATACATATAAAAATTGAAGTACGTAAGAAATAATGAAACAAAGAAATTAGAACAAGAATAATAACACGTCAGAATATTTATTAAAATTGACAATAAATGGAAAGATGTAACAGATTATAATACATATAAGACTTTAAGTAGAATATAGTGAAAGAAATAATTGAAATGAGAACAATAATAGGTCAGAAAAAAATGTTAAAATTCAAATTTAAATTGAAAATAGATACAATGAATAAATGAAAAATATAATAAATTGTGAGCAAGTTTGTTTGTTTTTTTTAAAATAAAATTCTATAAAAGATATTTTTAATAAAATAAGTACCTTTTTTTTTTTTCTTTTTACTTATTTGATATGTTTGTCTAATCTTTTTAAAATAAATAGTCTTTTTCTTTTTTTAATAAATAATTCATATCTATTTTTAAATAACTATTTTATTTAAAAAGTACTGTTTAAAAACTTTTTTTAAAATTTAAACAAATATAACCTATATAATAGAGTAAATTCTCAATCCGTAGGAGATAATTAAGATAAATGAATTATTTTTTTCAAATTTATTGCAATCAGATATAGTTAAGTCATACAAATACTCTTAATTAATGTAATTAACAAATTATTTTTTATTTTGAGTGCGAATAAAATAAGTACAATTGTTCTTAAATTGTGTAAGAGTCTCTCTCCTATATAATTATATTATTAATTAGAAATTCGCTTATTCTAAGAATTAACATATATTTATAATAAAAATATTTTTTTATTTAAGAATGAGAATAATCAATTTAAATCTTTAAATTAAAATGAATAATTTAAATTAAAAATTTTACTTAAAATTACAAATATAATTATTTATCATTATCGTCACTATTATTACTATCATTGACATAAACACATAATAGTGACGTGACAATTTTAATAGTAATAATTGTAGTGATAATGATTATATTTGTAGTTTTAAATAAATATAAAATTAATTTATACTAATTATTTACCAACTTATTATAATGATTTAGGGTTTTACCCTAAACCCTAAACTAGTTATTAACCACTGTCGAATAAGATAAATATCAGATCAATTTATGCTATTTATTTGTTTATTTATTCTGTGAATTACTTTACATTGAATTTTGATGAAATTAACAATTTTGTTTAGAATCAATTAATCTTGAGCTAAATTTATGTATTTTTGTTTTGTTTTGCAAGGTTTGGACTAAGGTGCAATATCTAAATGGGAAAGAAAGAAAGAAAGAAAAGGATCAAACTTAAATTTGGAGACCGGGCCAAACTCCTCTGCGGCCCATCTATTAGAGTGCTATTAATTTAATGTCTGTGTTATTTGGGCTTTGTCTGTGTGATGTAAAACTGGGCCTCTGTGGTGTTGTGAACAAGGCTACCAACATGAGAAAAATAACCCTGAATTCCTCTTTTCTTTTATTTATTTATAGGCATAGTAAAATTCTCGATTATATATTTTTTTAATCCTGATATTCATACGAAATACTCACCATTAGATGTAGTGACAAATCTTTATTAAAAATTGTGGATGTATATAAGATGAATTTTTTTTTGTTGATATAATTTGCTTTATTCTAGGACTAAGATTCAAATTATAAATAATTATATTAAAAAATAAAAACTATTATCACTTGTTTATGGTGAGTCATTCATTGTTTTAATCTTGGAAGGACGATGTTAATTTATTGTAAATTGTGTCAATTCACCTGTTAAGAAAACAAATGGAACTGTGTTTTGCGGCTGAAATCTTAGGACGGGATAAGGAGTTGATTGTATTTTGTTCTGTTTTGTTTTCATTCGATGATACATGCTTACGGATGACAAATATACTCGTACTTACGGGTAATATCTGAATCTGTTCTAATTTTAAAGGAAAATATCTGATTTGACTAGGTACGGGTACGGGTACGGGTACATGTATGTATTTAGCCGCCCTGTACCTGTACCCATACCCGTCCTCGTTTTCATTTTTAATTTAATAAACTTTCAATTTAATTATATTAAAGAATTTTAATATTTTTTCATGTGTGATTATTTATTATAATATGAGATAGAGAAATAATCTAATTATAATTATAATATAATAAAAAAATAATTTAAAAATATCATATTTTTTTACAAAAAATAAAAAATAAAAAAATTGGGTACGGATATACTCGATACTCGACGGGAATGGGGATCCCTATACATGCTTATTATTCTACATTTTAGGTTGAATATTGTTTAAGATAAATATTAACTTCTAAATAATTAAAATTCATAATAAATATATATTTTAATGCGGCTGCATAAACAAGGCAGGATTCGAACCCCTGACATTGCTTAAGCGTGGATCAACCTCTACCGCTAAACCACACGCTTGAGATTATGATATAATATTATTTTTAATTATTAAATATTTATTTTAAAAAATTATTGAAACTTAATTTCTCTCAATATATGAATTATAATAACTAATATGTAGGAGAGTATATTTAGAAACTATTATTAGAAAAAGAGGGGTTTTAACTAAATTTCTTTAAGTTTTTTTTAATATATCATTTTTAATTTTTGTTTTATATTAAATTTTAATATTAAAAAATTTATCAATAATTAAAAATAATTTTATATTATAATATAATTCTTTTATAATTCTAAAATATATTTATATGTTTAAAAAATATTTATTTATTGTGAATTTTAATTATAATATAATTTATATATTTAAAAGAAATTATTTATTATAAATTATAACTATATAAAACAACATTTACACACTTAAATACTAGTTTAAAAATAAAGATGAAATGAATAGATTGAAAGAGACAGGTGGTTGGAAAAATTAAGTATATGAATAGTGACAAGAGAAGAGTTTTTTTTTTTATCAGCCATGACAAGAGAAGAGTGATTAGGAAGGTTGAGAAAATTTTGAGTCAGTTATTAAATAAAAAGAAATTGAAACTAAAATAAAAATAAAATTATATTTGAAAGGAATATTTAAAACAAAAATGCTCAACGTATAATATTAGGATAAGACACACTTCTCTTAATGAGAGTGAGAATATATATAACTCCTAAATATATCTTTATTCAAAATATTCCCGTTGAGAAATTTGTTTTTTTTAAAAGATAAATATTTAAATTTATAACTTGTGCATCACACAAATTAAATGTTTATTATATATAGCCAAGATAAATAGTAAACTATATATACAAATAAATACTATATTTAAATATATAAATTATATTTAAAATATTATATAAATAGATATTTTTAAATATATATATATATATATATATATATATATATATAATGGATATTCTATATATATATATATAATACATTACTATATACTATCATTTTCACCACTTCAATATCTGGCATATTATAGGTTCACTCCTTTTGCTCAAAAATAGATCATATGGAATCTCATACCCCAAACACCAACGACACTATTGAGATTGAGGCCTACAAACAACAACCCCCTATCGGCTCAGCCAGACGCCGAAGACGACGTCTCGGCCGTTTCGTATCGGCTCGGTTGAAGGCTAATAGACAGAATAATTAGAATGACGATCATGATTAACAAGGGACAAAGCACAATTAAGGCATAACCCGACGATTAACATCGTATTACCTAATTTGGTAAGTGTCACAGAAGGCCCACCATGCTCAGGCCCATGTCAGGTATTATAAATAGGTCACACGTAACGAGGTATATGACTGTTCATTTATTACCCTAGAGATTCGTGCTTGTCCTGACTTGAGAGTCGAAATGCCTTTTGTAGGTACCTCCCCCCTTTTTTCCAGAAAGATCCACCAGAAGCTCCCGTTCGGCCCTTTATCCACTTGAAGATTACGAGTGTGCCCTTAGGCAGGTACATTTTGGCGCCCACCGTGGGGTCGAACCGATAGCTTTTGAAGAAGACAAATTGAGCACTAGTTTGAAGACATTATGGCGAAGACGAGGAGAACACACACTGAAGACCACCGATCCGAAGATGAGCATCAATTCGAGGCTGATAATGCCAAGACGGTCGACGAGACCAACATGGCCGAGATGGTACGACAACTGAAGGAGGAGATGGCCGCCATGAAGCAGCAGCGAGAGAAAGATGCTCGCAAGATGGCCGCCCTGAGGGAAGAGAACGCTGCTCTGAAAAACCAAAACAAAGATCCCACGTGGAAACCTTCTGAGCTGACTCGCACCCAAGGGTCGTTTCACTCGCTCGAACATCATACTTCTCTCCCACATACTTCTACCATCGCTCCGGGAAACCACGCCTCGGCTGCTCAGGTAACCGGCCGACCCGCGTACACCTTGCCAACCGGAGCTCACCAACATCCTTTCACTCCTAACATCATGCAATCCTCCCTCCTCGACCACTGGAAGTCCCTTTCGTTAGATAAATATGACGGAACCACCAACCCCGACGAGCACATTGACATTTTCTTGACCTAGGTCACCCTCAGTACTACTGATGACGCCGCCCTTTGCCGAATCTTCCCAACTTCATTGAAAGGTCGGGCATTGAGCTGGTTCACGCGACTCTCGGCCAACTCAATTGATTCCTTCAATACCTTGGCATCCCAGTTCACCATCCAGTTTGCTACCAGCCGACCTCATCAGATGAACTCTCTCTCGTTGGTAAGCATAAGACAAGAAAAGAAGGAATCCCTTCGGACCTTCATCTGCCGATTCAACAAAGCGGCATTGGAGATCCGAGACCTAAATCTGGCCATTGCTCTTCACCACCTGACCACTGCTTTGAAACCAGGTCCTTTTGCTAACAACATCTGTAAGAAACCCCCGTCTGACATGGATGACTTGCGTCGGCGTGCCGACAAATACATGCAGATGGAGGAACTATCTGAGTTTCGCAACCAAGCAAGAGCGAAGATAATTGTTAAGGCCGAGAAGCCAGCCGAGAGCATCTTTCGGAGTCGCCCGAAAGAACTTGTCCTCCGAGACAAACCTGTCTGCAGGTCGAGATACTCTCATTACACCCTGTTGAACACTAGCCGATCGGCTGTCTTGGACCAGGCACTCGCGTCAGAAGTCCTGGCCGTGCCGAAGCGAGCCTTAACCCCTCCGCGTGCCGACACAATCAAATCTTGCAAGTACCATCGGAAACGAGGCCACTCAACCGAGGAATGCGTAGCCCTGAAAGATAAAATCGAGGATCTAATCAAGCAAGGGCAGCTTCAACGTTTTGTCGATCGACCCCGCTCCCCCCGACACGATGATCGCCGGCATCGTGGGGAACAGCATGACCGAGATAGATCCGACAAGCGTCCTTACAGGGAACAAAGCCGGTTGAGGGGCCGAAAGGAGGACGAGCCGGCAACCCAACCTCGAAGAATCATCAACACTATCGTCGACGGATTCGCAAGCGGCGGCCCCACCTCTTCAGCTCAAAAGAGACACCTACGAGCCGTCCGAGCTGTACACTCGGTCGAACGCACTCACCGGAGGTTGCCGGCCATCACATTCATCGAAACTGATTTTAAAGGTATTGATCTTGATCAAGATGACCCCATGGTTATCAGCATTGAGATCCACAACTGCATTGTTCGGAAGACGCTGGTCGATCAGGGAAGCTCGGCTGACATCCTCTATTGGAATACCTTTAAACAACTCGGCATACCAGAAGCCGAATTAACGAACCCTTGGTTGGATTCTCCGGCGAACGTGTTCAAACCAAAGGGTACATCAAGTTGTCCACTCGCTTCTGCTTCGATGGAGCCGAAACCCGAGACATCCCGATGAAGTACGTGGTTGTGCACGCCAACACGTCATATAACATCCTTCTCGGAAGGCCCTCCCTCAACAAGCTGGGTGCGATTGTGTCGACTCCACATTTAGCCATGAAATTCCCTTCCGAGTCGGGCCGGATCATCACCGTACACGCCGATCAGAAAGCGGCTAGGGAGTGTTATTTCCCTAGTCTTCGGTTGCTTCGGCTCGAAACGGCCGAATCGCGCGGAATGAAACGAGTGCACACAGTGGCACAAGAGCACGACACAATTGTGGACTTCGACCCTCGGATGGAGCAGGACGAGAGGGTCGAGCCGATTGAGGACCGACACCCTATTGTCATCGGGCCGACCGACCTGCACATGACCTACCTAGGCTCTAACCTGTCCGAGACGGAAAGGTGCGAAATCGGACAAGTTGTTAGAAGGAACAAAGACCTATTCGCATGGCGCCCGGCCGATATGCCAGGTATCGACCCCAATTTCCTATGTCACAAACTCTCTGTGTGCCGAGAGGCAAAACCGGTTGCCTAGCGAAAAAGAAAGATGGGGGAAGAGAGAAAGAAGGCAGTTGAAGCGGAGGTATCCAAGCTCCTAGAAGCGGGGTTCATTCACGAAATACAGTACACAACATGGTTGGCCAACGTCGTCATGGTCAAGAAGACAAATGGGAAGTTGTGAATGTGCACCGATTACACAGATTTGAACAAGGCATGTCCGAAGGATGCCTATCCGTTGCCGAACATAGACCGATTGGTCGATGGAGCAGCTGGCCATAAGTTCTTAACCTTTCTCGACGCATATTTGGGTTATAATCAAATCCGTATGCATCCTCGAGACGAAGACAAAACGGCGTTCGTCACGGAATCCTCCAACTATTGTTACCAAGTGATGCCTTTCGGCCTGAAGAATGCCGGGGCCACATACCAACGGCTTATGGACAAGATCTTCGGTGGTCAGATTGGGAAGAATATGGAAGTTTACGTAGACGACATGGTGGTCAAATCAGCCAACACGCTTTCCCATGTCGCCGACCTGGCCGAAGTCTTCCACGCACTTCGGAAGCACCAAATGAGACTCAACCCGGACAAATGTGTGTTTGGTGTCTCAGGCGACAAGTTCCTGGGCTTCATGCTATCAAGTCGAGGCATCGAAGCTAATCCAGATAAATGCCAAGCTATCATCGATATGAGAATCCCATCAAACTTGAAAGAGGTTCAAAAGTTAGCCGGCCGACTGACAGCGCTGTCTCGTTTTCTACCTTGTATGGCTGAAACCTCCAAGCCGATTCTCTGTCTTCCGAAAAAGGCAAGCCAATTTCAATGGACAGATGAGTGTGAATCATCTTTTCAACTCTTCAAGGAACGGCTCGGTACTCCGCTTGTGCTGGCCAAGCCGACACCTGGCCGAGAAGTAATACTGTATTTGGCAGTTTCGGGCGAAGCCATAAGCGCTGGAATGATACAAGAACAAGACGACCAACAACAACCCGTATACTTCATCAGTTGAGTGCTTCAAGATGCCGAACGCCGATATCAACTGCTGGAAAAGGTAGCGCTAGGACTTATATACGCGGCTCGGCGTCTTCGGCAATACTTCCATAGTCATACCGTGGTGGTCCGAACTGATTGTCTGGTCGCTAAAGTGTTGCGAAAGCCGGAACTGGCCGGCCGAATGATGGCATGGTCGATTGAGCTCTCCGAGTTTGACATTCGTTTTGAACCTCGGGGGCCATCAAAGCACAAAGCCTGGCCAATTTCATCAACGAGTTATCGCCACTCGGCCACTTTGAAGATAACGCTTGGACCATGCATGTCGACAGATCGTCCAATCAGCAAGGAAGTGGTGCCGGCATAATCTTAGAAAGCCCATCTGGTATCACCCTCGAACAATCACTACGCTTCGGCTTCAAAACATCAAACAATCAAGTGGAGTATGAAGCTTTGCTTGCCGGCATGAGGTTAGCTGCCGAGATGGGAGCCACAAAAATCGTGTGCTGGACCGTCTCGAAAGTAGTGGCCGAACAGGTCAATGATAACTTTATAGTCAAAGACATAAACCTGTTGAAATATTACCACCTGTTCAAAGGAATGAAGGATCAGTTCTGTGACGTGAAAGTCTGACACACGCCGCGATGTAACAATGAAAGAGCCGACCAGCTAGCCCGGCTGGCTAGCAGTCGAAAACCGGGACAACTCCGGTCAACCATCCACTTGGAACTTCCTACGTCAAGTATTCCACAAGAGTGCATGCCGATTGAAGAGCCCTCATGTTCGTGGATGACTGACATCACAAACTACATTGTTAAAGGTTCCAAACCGGCCGATCCAATCGCAGCTAAGAAGATCCGCACCCAAGCAGCACGCTATTCCGTGGTGGCCGGAGAATTATACCGACGAGGGTTCTCCACACCCCTGTCGAAATGCATCGACCAGCAGCACGCCGACTATGTCATAAGAGAAATTCACGAAGGAATTTGCGGATCCCACTCGGGGGGAAGAACACTAGTTGCTAAAGTCTTGAGGGCCGGCTATTACTGGCCGACCTTGAAAATCGATTGTGCCGAGTATGTAAAGAAATGCAAACAATGCCAACAAAACGGCAATTTAATACACGCCTCGGCCGAGCAGCTCCACGCGGTCAGTGCCCCTTGGCCGTTTGCTATATGGGGTATCGACATTCTCGGCCCATTCCCACTCGCCAAAGGTCAATGCAAGTTCTTGGCAGTAGCTGTGGATTATTTTACCAAATGGATAGAAGCCGAACCACTTGCAACTATAACGGCCACCAATATCCAAAAATTCGTATGGAAAAATATCGTCACCCGGTTTGGCATTCCATATGCAATCATCTCCGATAATGGGCTTCAGTTTACGGACAAGAAATTCAATAACTTCCTTGAAAGCCTCGGCATCCGACACCGGTTCACGTCCGTCGAACACCCACAGTCCAATGGTCAGGCCGAAGCCGCTAACAAGGTCATCCTCACCGAGTTGAAAAAACGGCTCGGCACGGCCAAAGGAGCCTGGGCCGAAGAGCTCCCCGAAGTTCTCTGGGCATACAGATCACCCCCCAATCAAGCACAAAAGAGACTTCGTTCCGATTGGCATACGGCACGGATGCGATGATACCGGTTGAAGTGGGTGAACCTTCATTCCGATGGAAGCACTTCCACAAAAAGTCAAACGACGAGACAATCCGAGCCGAGCTGGACGTCTTGGATGAAGTCCGAGAAAAAGCACAAATCGTAGCCGAGGCATGCAAATAGAGAATGACTCGGCGAATTAATTTCAATTTAAAACCAAGGAACTTCCAAGAAGGTGACCTCGTTTGGAGGGAAACCGGCTCAGCACGACGCAACCCGGTTGAAGGAAAGCTGGAGCAAATTGGGATGGCCCATTCTGAGTCTGACACGTTCTCAATAACGGCGTGTATAAACTCGAAGAGTTATCTGGCAAGGTCATCCCTCGGACATGGAATTCTACTCATTTGAAGACCAATTACAGTTAGAATTTAACTCATGTACATCTGTAAATGTCTAATGATGCACTCTTTTCCTTGAACCGATCTTTTTTCCTCTTAAAATATTGTGAAAAGAGGTTTTTGGCCGGCAAGGTTTTTAACGAGGCATCCACTCAATTAATAACAGGACAGTTCAACTATCTATGACTTGTTTTACATTTCTGCGATTTTATTTCAAATTACAAGTCTTCCCTCCCGAGACGTCTCTCGGCCAAGGATGTGGCTTTTATTTCAAATTACAAGTCTTCCCTCCCGAGATGTCTCTCGGCCAAGGATGTGGCTTTCATTTCAAATTACAAGTCTTCCCTCCCGAGATGTCTCTCAGCCAAGGATGCGACTTTAATTATTTGTCTTCCCTCCCGAGACTTCTCTCGGCCAAGGATGCGGCTTTAACATTACTTCTTTAATAGTATGTTGTATTTAATGAAAAACCGTACATTACATTGAAAAGAAAGGGGCACTACCGGCCCGAAATTACAAAAAGTTAAAAGGGGCTCTATCGGCCCTTGCATACAAATTTTTTTAAAAAAATAACCCTAAGCCTGTGCTTTGGGCTCCCCTTGGGCCGAAGCCTCCTGCTCGGCCACTACATGCACCTGGTCTTTTCCACTCGGCCCGACTTGGTCACGAACAGGCGCTTCGGTGTCCGGCTGCTCATTCGGGGGGATTTGCGTAAAATTTACATACTTCCCCCGATAGAAGTCCATGGACATGTTAAATTGAAAGTCCGAGGGAAGGCTCCCGAAATGCCGGGCTTGGCGTGCCGCTTGCGCGAAACCAGCCTCATGCTGAGATAGAACCTTGCTCCTAGCCCTCTCTCTATACGCCCCGAAAGCCTTCTTCTCAGCCTCTAGTTCCCCAGCCAATGCGGTCGACTTCTCAGTCTCGGCCTTCAAACGGTTCTCCAGCTGCTGCACCGTGAAGGTTAGGTCATCATTTTGACGGCTCTGCCGGTCCAGTTCGGCTTCACACTTCTTGCCGTGCCCCTGTGCTTCAGACAACGCAGCCAAGATTTTCTGCACGGACTTTTCAGACTCGGCCAGCTGTCGGCGCAGCTCGGCCTCGGCATTTGGCTGCATCATAATGCTTTGAGCCAAAGCCAGGGACTGAGCCTAGAACTCGCAGAAAAAAGTCCACTTGTGGGACGGAGCCATCTGGCCCAGTAGTGACTGCCCCATCTCTGATGTCAAATCCTGACTCAAGTAGTCTTGAGCGCTGACATTCGAGGCAAGGAAGTTTGGACTCACAAGCCCTTGAGGAGCCACAAGCGCGGGTAACCTCTGCTGCTTTTGCCGACGTGCTTCGGCCTCGGCCTCGGCCCTTCTCTTGGCCGCTTTTGCCTTGTGAGCATCCTGAGTGCTCCTCTCTTTCGGTTGCGATTGAGGCCGAGACGTCTCACGGGCCGGAGCCCGGTTATCTCCATGCGGAGTCACCACCGGCGTGGTCGCTCGGTTTTGGATCAGATTGCGGATATCCAGATCGTCGCTGTAG